GTAAAAATAAGCAGCTTCATGAGGAAAAACTATCATACTGGTAATTCCTCAGAACTAGAAGCAAGACTTTCAAAACCCATTCAAGTGTGAACGTGTTGGAATTTTGCTTGGTTGCTAAACAGGTATTGAAGAGAACTCTACCTTAAACCCCCAGAACATAATGAGATTTTTAAATCATAGCTTTGCCTTGTTTCATAGATACTACACTAAATTTAGATGCTACACTAAAGAAATTATGTGACTGTTTTATTCTACTACAAAAGCTCTACCCATGCCAGATTATCATTTTCTGTTACCCAACATCAGCAACTTGCTGTTTTCCCTTGACTACCCATGACAGAGCATCCTGATTCTCATATGTTCCACCTGCCTTCCAATTACAGGATCTTCCAGTCTGTAAGTTGAGCCCATGAAATAGTTCCAGCTTCTTTTCCCAAGGCAACATAAAAACATGCAGTATTCTTCCATTCCTACCAAGAAACTGAGAAAACAATTCAGGATTTCTGGATGTCACGTTGAGGTTTCGTTGCTGAATGGACAGAGTGTGTTCTGTCCATGATATCTGACCATAATTTTCCCTAGAAAAACATTTGGATTAAATGATTAAATAATGTGATTATATATTCAAAAAACAAGCATTGCTACCACCTTTCCAAAAGCAAAACCACAGGAGAGTCTGCAGTAAAGCTCAGTACTTCCAGTGCATTTGCCAACTACTGCTAAAATATATCAGCATTACCTCTTAATCCACTGGCAGAGCAGAGCATCTCATTTTCTGTGCTTCAGTTGTTGTGTAAATATGAGGGAGAGTCAGATACTCAGCAGTCAAATTAAGGTGTGTTCTAATGTCCTGTAAAGTGGCAGGGAATTGGGGCATCCTTATCATTTCCAGTTTCCAGGTAACTTCCCCCTGCCCATTAACAAGTCATTTAAACCCAGCTGTTTTCTTTCTCCCTACCTCTTTAATTTCAAGCCAGAAAGGTGCTGTTCTCTTCCAGGCCAGAAAATTGCCTTTCAGCAGCTCAGAAGAGAGAACCTCCTAAGACTTCTTCACCCTGAGAAATTCATCCTGGCACATTATGTTACATCAGGAGTTCTAAGGGCTTTTCTCCTGGGACTACAAATCCTTGGTTGGCCAGGCCTAACTCTTCCATTTTAGGAGAGCTCTAAGCACTCATCCTACTCCACAAATATAATGTAAATCGGTATGGTAAAAATTCCACAGTGTTAACCTGCTTGAATTTAGAAAAGCAGATGCACTTTGAAGGCTTCTTTACCTTTAAAAATATGGTTTCTCAGTGAGTGAGCTCTCCAGATTTTTTTTTAGCCCTGAATGGTTTTTTTCCTGTACTAGATTTATTTCAACATACCTATATAAACACATGTTCAGATGTATAACAGAGAGAGAGAGATATTTTATCAATTAAAATTGTTTTATACCTCAAATGTCTGGATTTGGTAAAAATAAAATGAAGCTCCAAAAGTAGCACAGAACATCACAACCTCCACGGGATGCTTGAGTATTCACTGCTTCCTTCCTCAGCTGGAGGTGGGCAGATGCTCTTCCAAAGCCAGTGTTATCTGGAAATCCCTCCTTAGTGAAAGGCCAGTGGAATGCAACCTGAGTTTTGGACTCAAAAAGGAGATCAAAGCCAGGCCTGGTTCTTCAAAGGGAAAAAGGTGAGGAGCTGGCTGTGCATGAGAGGAATGGCTGACTCTGATCAGGCTTTGAAACACTGGGAAAAACTGAAATCTTTGAAGAAAACCAGCGTGACATACTCAAGCTAATTTTCTTCAGAGGCCATTAAAATTCCTTCAGAACGTCCTTAAGAAGAGACTCCTTGATTTTTTGTGACCTTTTGGATAGAAAACCATACCCAGCCTTTAGAAGTTTATCAAGAGTCTCTGAACAGCTTAAAAAATACATGAGACAAACAAAAAATCTGTCTTTAGACTAAGGACTGTGCAGGTCCAGTACAAAACCTTTAGCAAACCTGAAAAGCTTTTCAAAAGCTTATTTGTCACAGAGACAAAAGCAACTACACTGTAACCAAGAACTGAGTAGGGAAAAATAAGGGTATTTAGATCCCATCTACTCTGTGGGCATTAGGAACTACAGTCATCTAATATTTTCTGTTGACTCCCACAAGATGCAAAAATCTTGCAAGCCAGTGGCATCACCACAGCTGTTAAAAAAGACTATTTTCTTAAATTCCACTTGCAGCATTCCTGCAATTACTTGGAAAAAAAAATGCTTTTAAGGATGACAGGAGTGAGATCACATCTCAGGGCACATCTGTGAACGGTGGAATTCAAAGAAGAGCAAATGCAAGGGAACAGCCTGGTGCTCTGATGAAGTAACCTGTGAGCAGCGAGGTTAGAATGGAAAGTATCCCCTCTGAGATACTGCTAAGCTGCAATTAAAAGCTGCTGGTTAGGATGATCCTCATTTGCTTTAGTCTTGGTCAAAGCAGAACATGCTTTAAAGCAATAAATACCAACCCTGACAAATATTAACCTTTATTATTAGTGGCTAGTGATAATAAAAGCTTTATTTCTAGACTGTGCCGTTGCCATTTCCTGAATTAAAGTTGAAAATTACATTTTACGATTTAATTGGTAAATAGCATTTGAAAAGGTTCAAACTGCAGTGTTTAAATAGGAACAGCCTGCACAGTGTTTGCCTCTCTGGTCCCCTGGAATTTGGACTCCTTATCACTTCATCTGTGTGAGATCCTTATCTCTCCATCCCTATTTGAGAGGGAAGGAGTCTTTTCCCACGGCTGTAAAATGCCATTTCTCTTGTCCTTGAAGAAAATAACATTGGAATCCTTGAAATCAATGTTTATTTTTTTCCTTCAGTGGCTGAGGAAAAGAAGGATTGCTGGTAGAATTGCAACTCCTTTAATAAGTTTACCAAGGCATTCCAAAAAGATTAACCCTTAAAATTAGACCATAAATGAAAATGCTTTCCTATTTTATAAGGAAACACAGACTAGTTAAGGTCAAGTCACTGCAGAGAGTTTAGTCATCTCTTGAACAGGTGGGAACTCTCCAGATCCCCATTCCAGGTTAACTAAAGAAGCCAACTGCTTAGGCAAAAACTCAAACACCATATTTTCAATGTTGCCCCTATTGTCTCTGAAGATACAAAGTGGAATAAAGCTCTGATGCAGAAAGAAAAGGCAAGCAAAACATCTGCACAAACCAAATAAACCAAATTAAAAAAAAAATCCTAAGCAAAACTTTACTTAACACAGCATTAAAGATGACATATTCCATTATCTTTTCATCAAGATTACATATGTGTTTTTTCCTCTTTTTGTTGGTCTGGAAATTCCAGGGTAGAGTTAATGTGATGCTTCATTTTGAGGTCAAAGTCAGCCCCATAATATGACACCCCCCCTTCTTTTTTTCTTTTTTTTTGACATTAACTATTTCAATAGTCTCTGTGTGGCATTTCAGGAATGATAAAAAGATTATAAATCTTCATTTCAAAATTATCAGCTGTAGAGAACACAGAAGTACATGACATAATATCCAGCCCCAAACGAGGGAGCTGAAGTCGAAGGATATGAAAACATTATCTTATTTAACCCTATGTCAGAATTGCAATGAAAAATATTGTCAAAGTCCTTGTAAAAGATGCAAAAAAAGAAATAAATACCTACCTTTTCATATGCTTGTACTAAGACTATAATTTTAACATGTTTTATTATCTTTACCTGCAGGGGGGAAAAAAAGAACTTTTATTTGACCATTTTTCGTGTGGTAATTTTTCAGCAAGAAGTTATTGAAGATGGAAGAGCTTCTCTTGTAGCTTAACCTTTTTCTTGCGAGAATTAAACAAAAAAACCCCCAAAGACAAGAAAAAGACAGTGACTAAAAAATACACCTCTGGGGTTTTTTTCAGTCCTGGCTTTCCTTTGCAGCCTCAGCCTTGGAGAAAGACATTCCCAGTGCAGTCTGACTCAGCCACCCCAAAACACAGCAAATATAAACAAGTGTTTCACATGTTCTCAGAGTCCATTTTTAGTCACAGATTTACATCATCACTGCAGGGGGAATTCCTGGTGATCAAGCCTGGGTGCTTAAACAGGCTAAACAAACAAAAAAAGTGAGCAAAACAACTGTCAAACCGTGCTGGGGATACTTTTGTTTGGTCTTATTTCCAGCCCTGTCCTACCTGTTAACGAGGCATCGTGTTAACAAGATAACAGATGTTATCAGCGATCAATACCACAACATCCCTTAGCTTTTAACACTTGATGTTAATTGAAAAAAGTCAGCTGCGGTTCGAGGGGGTGGATCAGGACTTAGTGATTTGAATGTCATACAGCAAAGGAGCTGTTTGTACAGCTACGTGGCTAAAAACAAATGATTAACACAATTAAGGGGTGGCTTTGCAAATATTTTAGGGATGTTACCTAATTCCAGAATGCAGGATAACAGCACTTTTTTTCCTGGATGTACAACTGTACAGAAATAGAGAATGGCATTTTTCACTAAAGCAAGGTTTTAAAATATTTACAAAAATGGAAAATAATTGTAACTGCAAGCAAAGGGAACACAAGGTGCCCACTCAGCTGCCTCAGGTTAATGAAAAACATTTCTGCTCACACTTCTCTACTGTCTCAAGATAAAAACGTCAACTGTTTTTATAGGATGCAACCAACATCTGGACAGATGGTTTTAATACACCTATAAAAGGACAATTACTTCAAGGTTGCCTTTTCAAAGCATTTCTAAATTAGCAACTGCTTGGTATAAGGATTATCAAAATAGACCCTCCAAATGTTCACTCTCACTCTGTGACACACCAGCACTGGATAAACATTCTCACAAACGGAACAAAGATGGTTTTTCTTTTTTTTTAAAGATAAACTAATTGGGCTGTGGGTTTACCTGGGGTTCCTATCTCAAAGCTTTTTGTCCGAGAATGGGTTTAATGATTGTCTTTTATAACCTTTGTACTTAATCTGCTGCTGCTTCTGCAGATTCTGGTTCAGACTGGGACGTGCCTTGCTGTGTAACTGCCTGGGAAATCTGATGGGAGAAACATCCTAAGACAAAGATTCCTGGACCCGAGTAACACCAAACAAATATAAATAAATAAGGTAAGCAAACCCAAGAATTGCTAAAGGTGATCATTGAAACATGACTTTAAAGAGGGAATTTGGGCACAAAGCTGTAAAGAAGTTCAGTGACCCAAGCCCTGCATTCCTCATGTGGGCAATTTTCTATCATAGGTTTAGTCTTAAAGTTAGATTTATTATTATTTTTTTTTAATCTTTGATTCAAAACATAAACTCGATGTCTTTATAGCCCAAATTTTTCTGAGGACCAACAATAATGAGATAGGTGTTCTGTCAATTTAAAATGCTACAGTTTTTGTAGCCAATTACTACTTTATTTCCAAAAACACTCCAGCTTAAGTTGCCTAATTTTTTCTGAATTACTGTCTGTATAACTTCTAAATGATCTTCAACATTCACATTCTAGTAAATATAGTTGTAATGTCTTAGGAGAGAAGAGACTTTTGACTGAATCCACTTTGGAGACTCAGGACCTGACCTGATGCATTTCCTTCACTATCTCAGGTTCTATTTTAGACAAATACAAGGACAAACAAGCAAAATCCTCAGCGGGGGGGAAAAAAAAATCACAAATTTAAATTTGAAAACGTTCGTTCTAACAAACATTACACTTTAATTCTATACAGGACAAATTCTAATTCTAATTCTATACAGGACAAAACACTGAGTGCAAAGAGCTGCTAATTAGACAATTACAGCAGCCCACACTTGGTTTAGCACCTCCAAGGAACCGAGACAAGGCCTAATTTAATGAAGATCAGAAAGAAGGTCTCCTAGATAAGAAGCAGACCAGCTTTTGGGAGAAAGATAAAATCTGACTGGACCGCTGGAGGAATTCCAAGGAAGGACTGGCTATAAAAGCAAGATCATTCCAGTGAGGATCATTCCTGGAAACTGGATGTAACCCGACACAGACATTCCCTGCCAGGTGAGTATGAGGAAAATCCTCACTGGATTCCATCCTTGGATGGAAGTCCTTTTGCCTCTGAGTGTGTGCTTTTTGTTTTTTTTTTTAATTTTCCGGCAATATTTTACCTCCAGTATTTTGGCCCCACATGTATCAGCAAAACTCAAGCAAACAATGTGCTAGAGTTGAGAATTTTGGTTTTGTTTCCTTAGAGATTTCAACAAGAAAAACCAAATGGGTGAAGAAGGCTTGAGGAAAAGAAAAGGAGAGGACAAAGGAAGAGGGGACAAACAATCCATTCAGAGTCATGAACCCCAAAGGACAAACCTACAAAAACAGGCAAAACATTTTCTTTTCCCTCTTTGGTCCGTGTGTGAGGGGCTGGCAGAGGGAGGCAGAAGTGGGTATTTGTGCACAAAACCCACAACTATGTCCCAGTTTAGCAATGATGTGCTAATATCTCAACTGCTTGGTTTACATTTCCAGAAACTGCTAATTACTGTAGTTAAAAAGCCGTGATATAAACCAATAGAAAACTAACAATATGTTTTTAAGTCTTTGAAGTTATCAGATAGAATAACAATGCGAAGCTGGTCAACTGAGGCACTTCATAAACTTTTCTTTTTTATTTTTTTCCCCCGTGTAGTTCTCAGGGGTTGCAGTGGGTTGTTCAGCTCATTGTTTCTGAACGTTTCTTGGTGTATACTAAGAAACATTCAGAAATAGGCACTGGTACTCAAAGACAAGTGAAAATCTGTCTCCTCCAAAAAATTAGAGGTGCTTTAGACAACAGTTGTGTCACTTGCTCTCAGGAGGGGGTGGAATTCCTCTTTAAATTTAAGTAACTCGCAAAAAGAGTCTTTATGTGGTTTTAGTTTGGTGCCAAGACTGGAAAAAATACTGATGTTATTAGAGTAGCCATAATATCAGGAAAAAATAAGTAGCCTGTGGCACTTGTTTTAGCAGAACATGCCTCAGGTTTCAGTGGTTTCATGTAACGTGAAACAAAATCAGAACATGGTCTTATCACCACCTATCAGTATGGAGATAACTCCTGTTCACAAATACCTAAAGCAAGGAGAGGAGAACAACTGCTAAACGACAAAAAAGGGACTCCATCCATACAAGACAATTTCTGAAGCTTAGAAAATTCAGAATTCATCAAGTGCTCATAAAAGAATTTCAGTGTTTAATCAGAGCAGAAAGGGGAAGTTCACCTGTACAAAGTTTGATTTGAGACCCAATGCAAAAGACAGTTTAATAAAGGAAATACACAGGCAGGCAAAATACAAAGAGGTGTTCTTTTGAAAACAGCAGGGGTAGGCCACATGGGCACCTTGGAAAGAAGAGTGAAACTTCACAAAATAGTTTAATAAATTTCTTTCTAGAACTTACCTGTTAAAAACTGATAAAAATAAGTCAGTAATGACAATTACTGTAGTTCTCTGCTACTGAACTAGAAATGACTTACAGAAGGTGTCTGGTTTCATTTCCAGGTGGGGCTCATCAGTGGGATCTGTATGATTGTCGGGACAATTATCGGGTCAGGTATCTTTGTTTCTCCCAAATCAGTACTTGGCAATGTTGACGCTGTGGGTCCTTGTCTGACCGTCTGGGCAGCCTGTGGAGTTCTGGCAACATTAGGTAAAGGAGTCAACAAAGAATCTGAATCTTTGCCTAAATCTTTGTGTCTACTGCTTCTGCAGACTACTGTCATTTCACAAATTAGCTAAAATCAAAAAAATACTGATGTATATATGCATAGCAGCACTGGGCCATAAATTTAAAATGTGCTGTTTATAAAAGATAAATTAAGTTTTTAAAATTGCAAATCGCACTCTCAATTTATTTTGAAATCAGCTTTTAATTTTGCTGGCTTCATCCACTGACTGTAATAAAGAGAATACTCTTCTACTTAAATCACTGGCAAAATGTGACATTTCCTGGCAGTCACCTGGGTGCTTCTGCTGGTTTTCTACTTGTGTAATTCTAATTCTATTATCTGGAAATTTAGACTAAGCACCTCCAAATATTTCAAGAAGTAAAACACTGAGCAATGTATCAGGGGACACAGCATAGAAAAAAACCTTAATGCAGGATGCCAGACACAGCAATAGATCTGGAAGTGCCCCTGTACTTTAATGATGAGCTTAGCAGACGTGTTGCTTCAAAACTGTGCAGCAAATCTGTTTTTTTTTAAGGTTTCCAAAAGGAATGTCAGCAAGTGCTGTTCTCACTTAAATGCTTCTTGCAGTGTTGGTTTCTTAAACAGAAATCTAATATGAAATCTAACATGAAATGAGAACGTTTGTGCTGGTTTTGGCCAAGTCTTAAACACCAGTAGTAGGAATTTTTGGACTGTATCTTATTAATTTCAGGGTATTTTTTCCAATTGCTCACAAGTAATTAAAATTTGATTTTTGCACATACAGTAAAATATACAGAAACATGAAGAGGGTAATGATGCACTGTAGATATCAATTTCCTTAACTTTTCTAGCTGTTAAAAAGTGATCATCTGTTCTAGCCAGTCACAGGTTAAAAAGGGCATGACCTCAACCTGCTCTTCTCCTTGCTCAGGTGCACTTTGCTATGCAGAGCTCGGAACCATGATCACAAAATCTGGAGGGGAATATCCTTACCTTATGGAGGCATTTGGCCCCATTCCAGCATTCCTGTTTTCCTGGACGAGTTTACTGGTCACCAAACCCAGCTCCTTTGCCATCATTTGTCTCAGCTTTGCAGAATATGCCTCAACTCCTTTTTACCCAGGCTGTGATCCGCCCCAGGCTGTCGTCAAGTGTCTGGCAGCAGCAGCCATTGGTAAGAGTCCCACTGTTTAAAGACATCATCATCAACCATCATCATGGCCAGGCTTTGCAAATGAAGATTTGGGAAGGGCTCTATCCATATTTGTTACAAGCACGCTGGTGGCTAAAAAGGCCAATATGAGATAGACACGTCTGGTTGCAAAAGGCACAGCAGAAAGACTCCTTAGGTGGGAAATTCTGCAATACACGATTCTTTCTGCGCTGTCTTTTCTCCTCCAGGGTGATCCTGCTGCGTTCTCAAAGGCATCAGCAGCGTTAGAGATGGTGTGTCTGCAGCCCTCCCCATTGGAGGCCAGAGTAGATCAGTTATGGTGATCAATATGGCCAAGGCTGAGATGTTGTTTCAGGCAGTCCTTGTATCTCCTCTTCGGGGAGCTGGTGTGGAGCTCTTGTGGGAGCTGGTGGCAAGTTCACCATAAAGCAGGATCTTAGGGAGGGGGTGCCCTGCCCAGCAGCAGGGCCTCAATACCTGTGACTACTGCTTGTTCCAGAACAGATGGATTGGTCACATCATCTGACCAGTGGATGTTTAGGATTGTTCGGAGGCAGCGTTGATGGAAGCGTTCCAGGAGTCGCAGGTGGTGGCTGTAGATGACCCATGATTCAGATCCATATAAGAGAGCAGACAGCACTATGGCTCTGTAAACACTGATCTTGGTACTTTTCTTCAAGTGTTTATTTCACCAAACTCTTTTATGAAGCTTTCCAAAGGCACTGTGTGCCTTTGCTAACCTGTTGTCTGTGTCTCTGTCAATCTCACCATCCGAGGAGATGAGGCTGCCTAGGGAATTAAACTGTTGGACTGATTTGAGCTCTGATTGGCCAATGGTGATATGGGGATGATGTAAGACTTCCTGAGGTGCAGGTTGATGGAGAACTTGTGTCTTCTTTAAGCTGACTTCCAGCCCAAAGAGCTCAGCAGCCTCAGCAAAGCAGGATGTTAAACGCTGCAGAGCTGCTTCTGTGTGGGCAACAAGGGCGGCGTCATCAGCATAAAGCAGCTCCTGGACAAGGGGGTTTAAGGTCTTAGTATGATATGCCTTTTAAAGACATATAGATATGTCTTTAAAGACATATGATATGTCTTTTAAAGACATATCAGACCCAAAATTGCACAATGACTTGGGTTTGGCCCCATCAGTAAGTGCACATCAGCACCCTGAGACTTCCTGAGCTTCACCTTCACAGAGACACCAGAAATCTTTAAGGCACAGTATAGTCAGTCCTTCCCATAATAACTGATGCAACAACATATAGGTTTAAAAATGGTTTGCTCCCAGTAGAAGGTTTTTTTATTCTTTGTAAAAGATAGATATAGCTGTATAATGAATGCTTACCTCTAGCAGAAAAGGAAGAAATAATAAGCTATTTCTGTACTTATCAGAATGCTGTTGAGCTTCAATGTATTTTTTTGTTAAGGGTACTCTCAAAATCTAATTCAGAAAAGTGTTTTTCCTCACTATTTTACAAGTAATCCACACACAGTATGTTAAAAACTCTATATAATATAGTTAGAGTGTGAGGAAAAAGCAGTACAGTATTGAAGGAGGAGGGTGTGTTTAGGGTTAAAGAGGCAACCTTCCTTTCAATTTTGACATATTTAATGCAAAAATTCCTCATTTTATTTCTTTTAGTGGTAATTACAATTGTGAATTCACTGAGTGTGAAGCTGGGAAGTTACCTCCAGAATTTTCTCACGGCTGCTAAAATGATCATTGTCACAATCATTATTGTAAGTGGCATTGTTCTCCTTGCACAAGGTAATCAAATATACATTCCTTGAAAAAAATTAATTTAGCTTCTGCTGTGAGCATTAATAAATTCCCCACTAGTGGAAGTGGCACAGTAATAAGGCACAGCCCTGAATCTCTTTACTCAGGGTTTTAGTTTTGCATCTCTTGGTAATTTCTTTTAGAGAAGGGGGTTGGGTGGGAAATGCCACACTACAGATCAATTAACACCTTCTGGTATTCTAACAGTGAGCAGTTTAAAAACATGAGAAAGATAATGGAATATTTCTTCATCTGATGGGGATTACAAGAATTAGTTTCAACACTGACCCGCAATCTACATCTTATTTGCAGGAAAAACTGAAAACTTCAAAGATTCTTTCAAGGACAGTAAAATTTCTGTCAGCTCTATCAGTCTGGCATTTTACAATGGACTCTGGGCATATGATGGATGGTGAGGAATCTTTACTAGCCTTGACAATTACAGTTTACCAGCCTTTAACCAGTTCACTCTCTCCCCACTGAACTCTGGAAAAGTTAACATCTGACTTGTTATTAAGAAGCTCATGGTGAATTTTGGAAAAACAACACCACTGGTTAAAAACCATCAAAACCTCCACCCCCTTTTATTAGGGGAAGAAATTATTCTGAAATTATTCTGAAATTATTCTGAAATTATTCTGAAATTATTCTGAAATTATTCTGAAATTATTCTGAAATTATTCTGAAATTATTCTGAAATTATTCTGAAATTATTCCTGAAATTATTCCTGAAAGGAGCTATTGCTTTATACTTCATACTTTAGTAATGAGAGAAATATAACCCAATTTAGTTCCACTGCCTCAGGCAAAATAGCTTTCCCTACAGGTTACCCCACCAAATTCCATTTCTTGGGAAATATCTGGTGGTGTTTGATTAGTACAAGAGCACATAGAAAAGAACATTTTATCAGAAGTCATAAGGCTCAACTTGCAGATCTTTTCTTAGGGAATGTCAGTTGGCCCAGGGCTCTGCTGGCACAAATCCATTAATGCTATTCTTAAATGTTCAAACTGCAAAAGTCTGCATATAGGTCTGTAGTTTGGAAGGAATATATATATATATATATCATTTTTTATATTACATATCTTATATAAGTATTTTTAAGATATTTATATATTATAAATATATCTAATATATGATAAATAATATAAATATATATTAAAATGATCATATATGATCAAAGTATGTTTCTTATATGTATATAAATATATCCTATTATATATAGATATTTTTATATATTATATACTATATGACTTTATTTATACTTATATATATGTGTATCTTGACTTACACCAAAACAAGTCCCACTTAAAAGCTTTTAAAACCGAATTTATTTTTAAATAGATGACTCTTTCGGGTTCTATTTCCAAACTTGAGTGTCTCAACTCAGGCATTTAAGTCTGCCAGTTCAGACATTCATGTGGACTTTTTGAGGAGGAAAGAAGCTGGTGCCTAAATAATGATTTGCATGGGTAACACCAGGCACTAACATTTGAAAATTTGCCTTTTGAACCGTAAAAACCATTTCTTCACGTTTTTAGAGTAGAGGAGTAAAAATCTTGTTTCAATCTGGTCTACATGCTGTGGCAAAAATGACTATTTGGAAATTAAAATTCAGATAGGTGTGATCCTTAAAGAGGTTTTCCTTAAAGCCAGTTTTCTAAAGACAGGATGATGAAATATCAGCAGATTTGCTTCACCCCTTGCCCTCAGCACCCTTGTGGTTTTATCTGAAAAGACTCAGGTACTGCAAAGCTTGAAGTTAAAAGGCAACCTTGTAAATCTGAGATTTCTGCCAAATTTTCCTTTCATTATTTGGGGATATTTTATCCCATATCTCAAAATCTCGGAGATAATGGAGACAGACATGGTGAATCAAGAGGCTGGCATTGGGATGAGAAGCTCACATAGGTTTTGTCCTGCAGTTTTCCCACTTAAAAAGATTGGTTATAGTGGTTTGGGATTTTTTTTAACTGAAAAGGTAAAAAGCAATAACATAAATTAACACCTGACCTCAGAGTATAGAAGTATTTAAACAACAAACTGCTAAGATATGAATGTTTTTCCTTCCAGGAATCAACTCAATTACATCACAGAAGAACTTCAAAATCCTTACAGGTAGGAGAGCACTGTTTCTATTGGCAAAATTCAAACTCTTAATATTTTTCTACAAGCAAGCATATACTTTGGGTTGTTTTTTAAAAAAGCAGCAATTGTTCAAGGTTTGAGCACTAACAGACAAAGCTAATTTGCACGTATTTCAGGCTTTGTATTTCTGCATAAATTTATATTTTTATAATCCTGATTTCCATAGCTCTGCAGTAAAAAAAAATAAATGTAAATACACCTAAAGAGCATATATGGCAGAGTCCACAGTGTACTATGACAACTCTAGAAATGATACAGCAATGCTGATGGGGGTCTTACCTTTGCATTCTTTAGAAATCTACCGCTCTCCATAATTATTGGGATCCCCTTGGTGACAGTTTGTTACGTTCTGATCAACATTTCCTATTTCACCGTCATGACTTCAACAGAACTGCTGCAGTCCCAGGCAGTTGCTGTGGTAAGCCACTTTATTTTGTGACAGAGCATCTCAAGAGGGCTGGTGTGAGTCCCAGTCCTGCAAATCGTGAAGCTCCTCCTTAGGAACCTGGAATTCTTCTTAAACTACACTTAATTTCAGTCTGAGCTATCAGTGTCACCTTTCCCCCCCCCTTATCTACTGTCATTTCTTACTCTAAGATTTCAGTAATGCTTAATTTCAGCAGTAGTTCTGTCATATCCCAACAGGAAAAAAAAAAAGAGGGAGGAAAATACTGCAGTGTTCAGCTAAGGTTTTGTAAACAGTGCAGCTCAGAGGGCTTTCCACAGGCATCAAAGAATGGAAAGAGAAATAACATCTGACAGTTGCTTTGCCCTTTTCAGCGTTTTCAGGATTTCTGAGAAAGAAGCACATGCCAAATGACAGCAGATCAAAGTTTGTTGTTCTGGAGATAACAGCAAATAGTCCATAATTCACTTTCACCTTATTCTTTTTGTTGTTGTTTTTTTTTTGTTTGTTTGTTTTTGGTTTTTTTTCCCCTTAACAAATCTGAAAGATACAGTTTTTACCTTATTGCAAGACATACTGTTATAGGTAAAATTAAAGATGACATAGATTTCTGAAATCCTAAAAAAAAAATACACCTGTCCCCTCACTTCCACTCAGTAAATTTTCAGTGGGACACCTGTCTCTGAAGCAGCTGTTGAGGTCATGCAGCAATTTTTTGTGATGTTAGTTTTTGGGGAAAACAAACAATATGTGACAAGCATGCAAAATACAGTGTGGCAGAGTGAAGTACACTAATGTTGAAATACTTAGAAATGTTTAAAAATGAAAGCTTTTCAAATTCAGACCTTGAGTATCTTGTTTGCACCAGGGGGTACAGCAATGTACCTATCAAATGATATCTTGTTTAAGAACCAGTCCTCTTCAGCACACCATTAAATTTAAAATCTGAACAAACATCTAGCATTGAACTCATCAGATTAAACTGACAGTATCTCAGACCTGGCACTGAGCAAAAGGACAGAGAGGTCTGCACAGCTGTGAGTACCCTTTGGAACAGCACTGATGTCAGAGCTGGGCAAAAACAAAGCTCTTTTTATGCTTGACTTACTAAAAAAAAAAAAAAAAAAGTTAACCACACCCCACCTAAAACCTCAAAAGCTCCCTGTCAAAAACATTTAAATTCAAATTAATTTGCAGCAGAGCAACGTGCCTACATGAGATCACCATGAACATCATAACAACAGCACTCCACTCCATTTTATAGAGTGGTCCATGAATTAATCCAGGTCTTCATTTGGCAAAGCATTCTTTAGTAACTACACAAAATATACAACCTGTTTATTGGTAGAATGTCTCAGATACCCATTTACTTCACTCACAAAGAGGCTCCAGCATTACTGAATATACCTAAAGTATAGGTATATATATAGTAAAGCATATATCTGGTAAACCATATATCTGGTAAACCATATATCTGGTAAACCATATATCTGGTAAACCATATATCAAGTATATATATATTTTATATATATGTATATATATACACACACTATATATATAAAAATAAAATATACCTCAGTATAAGTTGTTACAATGACAAAAATGGCTCATTTTAATAATTTTAATGGCTTGTTTTTATATATAGTAAACCATATATATAGTAAACCATATATCAAGTATATATATATTTTATATATATATACACACTACCTATATACACACTATATATATATATACACTCTCTATATACATATATAAATAAGAGATACCTCAGTATAAGTTGTTAAAATGACAAAAATGGCTCATTTTAATCCCATATCCCAGACATTTGGAGACAGAGTCCTTTATCCAGCCTCGTGGATAGTTCCTCTCTTTGTGGCATTTTCTACAATTGGATCTGCCAATGGGACCTGTTTTACTGCAGGCAGGTAAGTTCCTGTTCTAAATATCTTCAAAGGACAGTTTTTGAAGCATGTAAAAAGTTACACTCACATTTATGTACCCACACACATAAAGACATTCTTCCCATCCACATTATACAAAATGTAATTTGAAAATACCTGTAAATCTAGCTATGTTGTTTAGTTTTCAAAAAGAAACAGTGGCTATTCAGGTTTGGCAAATTAGAAAATAAGGTCACATTCTTAATTCTAAGCAGGTATAGTACAGAAGGGTTTTGTCACCTTTGATCAATTTTAAAGCTGAGAATTAAACAGTGAAAAATTACCAGTAAGAACACGACTACACTAGTAAAGATAAAGGAAACTGGAAAGAGAAGCTATTCCTTTCTATTAGTTATTCAAGGCTTCCATTTACTATTTCAAATATTTTAAAATTTCAAATCCAACTGAATGCAAAAGGGCTGTAAAAACCATTTGGTGACAAAAAGTTGTCAAGGTAGCTATTTGATAAGAAGCAAATGAAAAAGGAATTAGTTAATTAAAAGGGACACAGCAGTTTACATTTCTCCAAAATAATCTTCTATAAAATGTGCAAACTAATGATTCTGAAATTAATTTCAAATTTCCTGTTTTAATACTGGTTAAGAATCAGTTTCTAGTTCACTACTTTAATACTGGCCATTTCCCTTCTTACAATCCACTGCAAACATATTTAAAAAGAAAATACTGACAAAATTATAATCAGATTGTATAGCCACACAATAAAACAAACCTGAAAATGCATGGTACTCATCTATTGTTCAGTAATGCCACTTAAAATCTGATTTTAAGTGCCAAACTAACGACACCTCCTTGTTTTTCTTTTGGCAGACTCGTTTATGTTGCAGGCCGTGAGGGGCACATGCTGAAGGTGTTGTCTTACATCAGTGTGAAACGTTTAACACCAGCCCCTGCCATCATGTTTTATGTAAGTAGAAATTCTGAGTACAGAGAAACTACCAACAGGAATTCTCCAGCAACACAGTTTCTTACAAGCAGTCATGACACACATCTGTGAGTATCCAGGCAAGAAAACTGGAAAAAAGACTATATTAACCCCTCCCAGCTTCTCCATTTGAATATATTCATTCCAGAACTGGATTTTAAAAATCAAAATGTTTAAGATTCAACAGCATGAAAACAAAAAGTTAAATGTATGATTACCATAAGGCAATCCTTTCACAGGATGCTCAAAAGCAAGCTCTCACTACCCTGTTTCCTCCATGTAAGAATACACTTACATCTCACTAAAAAAAATTCTGGTCTGTAAATATGTTTAAAAATAAATCTAGAGCATCTTGGGGTTTTTTATTTTATCTTCAGGGCATAACCAGATACATTCAACCCCAGGAACATTAAAAACCTAAGAACACATTACGTATCTTCAAGAGAAGCAGTCAACAATAAAACAGATTAATGCGTAGAAATTATCAGTCTTTTGACTTAAAATGGAATAAGATTGCACACAAAAGCAACCACGTGCTGGCAGGATGTGAGCACAGCCTTTAAAGGTGCTGCAACACACTCACACTCCAGTGGTTGAGCAAAAGCATTCACAGTTCACACTTTGGAACACTGAGCACCTGTAGTGACACGTAAGTAAAACTCAGCCTGGTTCTGTAATAGACTACATTAATTTCTGTTTTCATTTTTAGGGGGTCATTGCTATTATTTATATCATTCCCGGTGACATTGAGACGCTCATCAATTATTTTAGTTTTGCAGTCTGGATATTTTATGGTTTAACAGTGTTTGCACTCATTGTTATGAGGTTTACAAGGAAGGAACTTGAAAGGCCTGTCAGGGTAAGTTCATCATTCCACGTGGCTTTTCCTCCACTCCCATAAATGCTGTAGATGAACTCATCCTAATATATTTAAACAGCATCCTTGGGCAGACTCCTTGTTTTTCTATCTCCTCACCATTTATTTGTAGTTATGCATCAGGACAAAGCTCATAAGAGCTGAGGAAAGAATGCATTATGTTGATTTTCACTTGCACAAACCACGGGGCTCAAGCCAAATTTCCAGGAATGGGAACCTGCAGTCTGCAGACTACACTGCAAGAGTATCCCAAATAAGAGCTCAGGTCACTCCACTGGAGTTTGGTCCCAGATTCATTAAAATGCAAATTTTTACTCTGCAACTGGCAATATTGACAAAGATCTTAGCAAATGATTTAGCAGGAGAGTTTTCTCCATCCATATTCTTGCTACTCTTTCAATTGCCCCATCTGATTCCAGAAATTTTAAAAGGAAAAAAAAAAAGGCAATCAAAATATTCTTTCATACAGGCAGCTTCTGTCAGATCAGCCAAAGAGTGGAGAAGTGACTGTGTGTTCTGTGCCTTGCAGGTGCCCATCATCATTCCTGTCCTAGTGACTCTGATCTCCATTGTCCTGGTGTTGGCACCAATCATCAGTGCACCTGAACTGGCCTATTTGTACTGTATTTTATTTATACTCAGTGGACTCATAGTTTATGCACTTTTTGTTCATTTTAAATTCAGCTGGGCCCAGAAAATATCAAGTAAGTACATACCTCAGGTAGGCAGCTCCAGAGTCAAGAGTACATCTGCTAAGCTCGAGGTTAATTACTGTGATGAAGCTCCTTTTCTGGTCCTGGGAAGGGAAGGAATTTCCCAAATGTGTATTGAGCTTTACTGAAGACTCTATTTTACTCCTTCCTGTGAAAGAAAAGGGATGTCTGACTTGAGGAGAAATTAAATTTAATTCACAAAAAGGCAACACAGCACCGTAGTAGCACAAAGAAACTGAATTTTAAAGTTAACAGAACTATTCTGTCTGTGAAGTTGGTTTTCTGGTTATCTGTGTTTCAAAACATTGCTTTAGCCATGAACTGGAGATTAGCAGACACAAATTCTGATGCTGCCAAAGAGAGTTTTTGTTATACTTACTGAAGGAAATGTTAACAGCATTAAGATAAAAGAATAATCACAGTGCTGAGTACAGTGAAAGCTGCAAGAACCCAGTGACTGTTATGAACTGATTTTGCTTAGTCTCCAGAAAAACTCCTTGTAATTATTTCAGGGAAACCAGGATACACAGGTAAGAGGTTGATTGGAACTGGCTGAATAGAACAGGATTAGTAGTTCTACAGACATTCAAAAAAATCCATCAGCTGTCTCTCCCCTCCCCTGGGATTATTAATTATAATGCACTTATGCAATTAGAAGCATTGTACTCTAGTAAGAGCAAGTTTGGAAACCTGGAACACTGTAGTTTAGATCTTAAGACTATTTTTATTCCCCAGCTGTTATTTTTTAAGTTTGAAATAGGAATAAAAAAGGACAACTGCTTGGAAGGATAATTTTCTCACTCAGTAGTCTGAATTGAGATATTGTTCTCTCTCATAAAGCCTCTAACAATAACTTTTTTCCTCAGATCCCATCACTATGCACCTCCAGATGCTTTTGGAAGTTGTTCCACCAGAGGAAGTTGCCACATGAAATATTTTTTTCCTACCAGGTTGCTTTTAAGTGCTGTACTGGTTGAAGTAGATTTGATTTAGTTTGGCAGATATATATATATATACTTGCTAAATTGTTATGTTCATACTGGTGTGTTATTTTTGCAACCCTTTAGTACTTGAAAACATTAAATATATATAATAAAAAAAGATTTCTAAGACAGGTTACAGTGTCCAGCAAAGCTGTTTCCATTGTTTGCTAGTATGTTATAGTGTCTTGTTTTCTGCATGAAAATTACTCAAAATACACAAGAGGAACTTTTCAATTATGAAGGTGGCAAAACTTAGCAGCAACAGTGTGGAGATGCTTTTGATGACACTATGAAAAAAACAACACAGCTCTTATTAACAGCATCACAGAAAGCACAGATATCACACCAGAGCTGCTCTGTCCTCAGGTTCTCAGACCAGCTGTCAAAAAGTTAAAGGCTGGGAAAGTGGGAATCAAGTAAAAATGTTAAAGCACAGTTGACAGAAGCTGATTTTTCATGGGTTGGTTTGTTTGTTTGGTTTTTTTAGTTGCATTCAAACAAGATAAATCAACTAAAGCTTCATTTCTCAGGTGTGTTTTCTCAACGCCATCCGAGCTACGGAACAATTAAATGCCACAGAATTTACCCTTAGCATGAATGTGAGGTAATGATCATTGAAGAAACCCCCCACCTGGTAGCTGATGAAAATAAAATACAAGAAACAGATCCTACATTAACATATATACGTAAGCAGCTTTTATGCTCTTCCTTCCGAATCTTTGGTTCTTTCTCCCCATCCATCCACCTCGCTGGGTAACAGGTCTTCATCTCCTTTGTTATCCCAAAGCTCATCAATTCCGGGCTCCTGCTGTGTCTCTGTGGCCCCTCACCCGGTTGGCATCACCCATCCTCATGCCCTTTATTATCCCAAAGGTTGGCACTTCGTGGCCCCTTGTCTCGGGCTCCCACCCACAGTTCAATCTGCATCTCTGTCTGCAGTTCAATCTGCAGTTTGCAAGCCGAGCTGCCCGGACCAAGTGTGTTCCTCAACAGTTTAGTGGCTAAAGAATGGATACAGGAAAGCACACACGCCACAAACACTCTTCTCTCTGCCAGTAATCATAGAAATATTCAATCAAAATGAAATAATTTTTCTTGTCTTACTAAAGTATACGCTTAAAAAAAATTGCAGGCACTCACAAAAGCGACACTTGCACATGTCAGCACAACTTCTGAATTTCTGCTAAATATTCTGGATAGTTCCCAGACCCGTGGGCAAAATCTCATTGATCCACACCTTCATCCTAGGAAGGCTGGTAACCCCGACCTTGAATTACACAACTCGATAAATGGAAACCACAGTTCTTAAATGCTCTCTCTCCAACTCAAAGCTGTTTTTTAAGTAACGCTTTAAACACAGCCCTACTTATTTACACCCAACCCTATCCATTTATTTTTAGGCAATTAGTTTTCTCTGCTTTTTCACACAGGGTAATTGCTCAAGCAATTAGTAGCTCGTCCTGTCTAACAGAGCCAAGATGGCAATGAAGTAACACAATCCTTGCCCTGCTCATTCAAGTGACAGCCAAAACACACATCACATCATTAGATTAACTCCGACTTCCAAACGACAATAAAACTGCTGGGGGGGAGGCACGGTAAGAAAAACAAAAGCCTAGAAATCCCCAAAAGGTTGAGACAGACCATTCGGGAAACGAAGCTGCTGAAGAGAACGGCTTCCAGAACATTTTCTCTTTCCACTTAATTTTTCAGCTGACCGAATGGTCAGATGGAAAACATAGCCACGATGCATTCCAAAGCACGGGAGTAACTCACTGTTGGTCCTCCTCTTTGGCACGACCAAGCAGCCACAAGAGGGACAGCACGGTCCCGAGATACAGGGATCCTAGGCTGAATTTATGCAAGTCCACACCGCCATCGTGTGGTGTTTCTATGAGAGGTAAAAGTGCTCAGGTAAAAGCTTTTTGTCCCACAGCGTGGGAGCAGTGTCAGGGTTCAGTTTTGGATCCCGGCTTTTCCAGACTGAAAGGATGCGATCCTGCACACAGCCGGGAAGGAAGGCGAGTCGTCTCATGGTTGCTGTGCGGTTTATAGGCTGCAAAAGAATTCCAGCACTTGGTTCTTTCTTCCAGAACCTTTTCTGAGGGACGTTTTTAGTTTTGTAACTGGGCTCTGTGAGACTGAGAGTGTTTGAGAGTACACAGAGCTGAGCACATAGACCGGGGTGGGTCTACACCTGCACTACAAAGGGAAGGTGAAGGCCAGAGCTGACTTTTTGTTCTAGGACTTTTGGTATGGGAGCAATTGCTGGATGTATTAAGGTTTGAAGCTGGGCTCTGCAACAGGAAAAGAATACGATGGTGATGGTACCTGCAATGAGCAGGAAAGTGCTCAGCTCCAGGGGGTGAGCTTCTTTTCAAAGGATGCGAGCTAAATATGGAGACAAAAACAGCTGGCTCAGCAGGCACCTATTTACACTTGATACAGTTAGTTCAGGGAGAGGATCTCTGCCAGATTGAAGGACTGCGGCGGTACTTAGAGCTTGAAAGGAAAGCTCGCAGCCCCGGTGCACGTGGTGATGTTGACACCCTTCGATGTGCCTGTGAAACCCAGTAACTGTTCTCTCCCCTTTGGCTTTCAGATTAAAATTATGGAGCTGGGCTCAGCGAGAGAGCCAAAATGGAACAGTGCACACAGCTGGAAAAAAAAGCACACCACCAGTGGGTGTTGTGCAGTCTAAGGCTGCACGGGAAGAGTGTGCCCAGCACTGTCTTTTTTGTTCTAGGACCTCTTTTTTTTTTTTTTTTTTTTTTTTTTTTTTTTTTTTTTTTTTTTTAGGGAAGGAGAAGGGGTAATCTAGGAACTCCCTCTGTCCCGACACTTTTTTCTCTGTGGGATGCAGATGGACACCTTGGACCCTGCAACGCTGAACGTGTGGGACAGGGATTGAGCTGCGAGTCCCGGCACATTTCTCTGTCCTGGCACATTTCTCTGAGACAGTTGTAGCTGGAAACTGTTTGGTTAAACTCTGGACTCTGTGAGATCGAAAGAACGTCACGGTAGACAGGGCTGAGAAGCAAATGGTGTTCACGGTGGTTTACACGCTCCAAGGGGAAGGCAGCGAAATCTTCCGTGCCCGTACATTTCCTTGGAGAGCAGTGGAGGACGTTTTCAGCTTGGGATGGTCACATTGGGTGGTTTGGAGGGAACCCTGATGTATTTTCGTCTTTCTCGAGCACACAGCGCTATCTAGTGGCCCTTCCCCGGTGCCAGCCTCCAACAGTTCCACCGCACGGCGCTGCAAGCACAGAAAACACCCCCCGAAGTGCGGATCCAAAGGTGGGAACGTTTTAGTCGCCGCTCTCAAACGACGTGCGGCAGGACAGAAAGGTTCGGCTGACCTTCCCCTTTCATGTGCCAACTCTTATTTGCACCGCACTCAAACGGAAACGCGAACTCCTTCCCAATTATATGTACTAATAAATTTTTTCCCTCTCACAGAGACCGATTACGAAATTAAAAACATCCTGAAAAACATACAGCTCACCAAAGTGCCAGGGGAGCAAACTGTTGCTGGGTCACCTTCAAGTGCACCCACTGAAGAGCACCACACACACCCTGGGATCTGCATTTCCTTTTCAACTCTACATTCCATCATAACCCTTCAGTCTCACAGAGTCAGGATCCTAAGCCAAACCCCACCACTAACAGCTCAGAGAGTAAAAAAACAGGACAAAAAGCTCAACAGCTTGGTTTTTGCATTCCCCCTGTTGTGGATCAAAAGCTCTAACCAATAGCATTGTAAACTAGGAAAAAACAAATTAAGTACACTACGATCACCCAATGTGTGGGTCTAAAACTGGTTTCCGTGCCACAGAGAGGAACTATGACACTACATCTCAAAAGAAATATGAAACACCCCTCCCCCCCCCAAAAAAATAGAAAATAACCAAGGATTGATGCTAGAACACTGTTATGGGGCCATGTGTTTTCCTTCTCAAGGGAAAGAACCATAAATTCACATTCGACAAACCACCACCAAAACTTGGTTTCCATCTCCAAAATGGAATATACCCCAGGCTTGCTCCCAGGGCAGGAAGGTTTGGNTGGTTATGGGGCCATGTGTTTTCCTTCTCAAGGGAAAGAACCATAAATTCACATTCAACAAACCACCACCAAAACTTGGTTTCCATCTCCAAAATGGAATATACCCCAGGCTTGCTCCCAGGGCAGGAAGGTTTGGCTGGTTATTTCTGCCCTGGGCAGCCCATCATCTGCCACTGAAACCCTGGGGCTGTGAGCTTTCCTTCCCATGGGAAAGAACTGTAATTCCCTGTCAAGAAACCGCATCAGAAATTTCCCTTCCACCTCCAAAATTGATTATGTCAAGGGATTGCTCCATAAGAAAAGGTGCCAGGACAGAAAGGTCTTGCTGCCCGTGGAGTGCCCTGAGCTGCCCATCATCTGCACCTGAGACCCTGAGGCTGCAGCCTTTCTTCCCTGGGGGACAGGGCTGTCCTTCACTTGCAGGGTTCCAAGTCGCCCCCAAGAAGCCTCATCACCTCCTGAATCCCCATCATCCCCATCCCCTCTAAATCCCAAATGGCACATAACCAGGTTCCTCTCCATTTAAACCCTTAAAAATGCGGGACAACAGGGAGTCCCCTTCAACTTGAACCTTAAGATGATAAAAATGGGGACTTTTGCCCTCAGTTCAAAGCCAGAATATGACACCATGAGCGTTTTCTCCTTCCATTTAAACCTGAAAATAACAGAAAATTGGGAAACCCCCGTCAATTGAACGAATCCCCTAAAACCCTACAAAAGGCAAGTTTTCCTTCATTTGAAATCTCAGATGAAGGGGGTTCCCCCTCAATTTAAACACATACAATGATGGAGGTTTCCCCACAATTTAAAACTCTTTTCCTTCCAACCCCCCCGTTGTGGTTCCTGGGGAGGGACCGGGAAGAGGAGTTGGAAAGGAGGAAGCCCTTC